TGTGCGCTTTCTGTAGGTGCAAAGTACAGCCAAAGCAGCACAGGCCACCTATGGCTTATGCCAAAATCCCACCTATACAGATTTCCTTGTCTCATCTGGCAAGCTACTATAACTAGACTTCAACCTGAATACTTGGAAAAAGGAAAAGGGATCTTACCTTCTGGCCAAAAGCCATTCATCAACACACGTGCGTCCACATCTCATTTACAAGTATTTCCAAATGGCAAGGACTCTGCCCAAGGGTCCCAGGCATCTCCCCGATTCTAGCTTCACTGTGAGAGATGAGAACTGAGGACTTTGCAGCAAAGGCAGATGCAGACACAGTGGCAGAAGGCGGGATTCGGTGAGATGCAATGCCACAACAGAATAGCTCAGAATAGCTGAGCTGGATCAAGCACTGCTGGCATCCCCAGACACGCAGCCATGGATTAGAAGCTGCGGAGCAAACTCACCAGTAGGCAGGAAGGAAACGAGGTGGGTTATTGCCAGCTCTTATTCTTTATTTGCATATACATTCTGTTGTTGTGCTTTCCTAAGACTGACTGAGTTCTCTTTTCCTAATATAAATTTCTCTATAACGTTTTCGGAGAGCTTGTCAGTGGAGTTTCTTGTATGAAGGACACTTTTTTTTTTTAGTTTTTCCAGGTTCCTGGGTAGAGACGTAAGCTTGTCAAAGGGAGTTTACTTATACCGAATTCAGTATTTTTCACTGCTTCTAATCACCTAATGGGAAGGCTGCAGACCTATAATTCTGGATTCAGTGACAGCTTGTTTTAGACTTACAATAGAGACCCCATTTACACTCTACAACACACCAGGCTTATGTTTGACAGAGCATGTTTACAGACTCAGAGGAACGCTTGCATGTGTGAGGTGATCTTGCTGTTCAAATTTCAATCTCACTTCCTACAAAGATTGTTTCTCTTATGTTCATGCTAGATTTCTGAGTCCAGTAACAATCTATGCTAAACTCATCCTCTTACCACCCTACATAAAAAAAGTGTCCAATATACATCTCTCCTGCTTTGTGTCTGAAGCTCATCCCAAACTAGTAGCACACTGAATTCATATAAGAACTAAATTTATGCCACAATATCTTATTGTAGGATTCTTGCACCTTCCTTTGAAGTCTTGGTGGCCACTCTTGAAGATTAGACAAATCTCATCTGCAATTAAGACCAACAGTTCCTATGTAATTAGACCTTTACTTTTTCTTTCCCAGAAAAAGCTTGAAGAATGCACCTCTAACCCAAAGTACCTGGTCTGCAGGAACCTTTGTAATGAAAATTAAGTGTTTTAAATCCACTGCTTTGATTCTTCCTAACAGTAAAATGTAATAAAACACATTGTACAGAATTAAAGGGATTAGTATGGGGGGGCGGGGGGAGGAGAGGGCGGCAGGAAAGCGTGTAGAAAAAGAAAACTCATGTTGAGCTATTCAATTATAGATAACCAGGAAGGAAAAACAAGAACCTTCAGTTCAGATAACACATGGCAGGAGAATGGTGCTAGAACTGACACGTATTTTCTGTTCAGCAAGGAAAAGGAGAAACCCAAATCCTAGGCTCATAAGTATGTCATTACCAACTGATCTTGAGTGCCTTTGTCAGGTATAAATCAGGGTATCTGTGACTGGACTGCCAGTTTGTAATATCAGATCTTAAAGAACTTTATCACGCGATAACACTATTGTACAAGTTGTTTTTTATGAAAACTTACCTGTCTGGGTATATTGCTAGCATAAAGGGACAATACTGGCATTTTATATGGGCCCAGTAGACATGAAATCAACCAAGCCCCATAGCCTTGTCTAACAACGGCAAGGAAGACTGCTCAGAATAAGCCAATGAGATGCAAGGCCCCCAAAAGGATTCATGAGTACTTGCTCATTGTCATAAATCCTTGTCCATGAGTGAAAAAGTGCGAGTTGCACACACACTGCTGCTTCACAGGATTACAGGCTTTAGGATGCAGGCACAGATGATCGTCCAATATAAAAAATTCTGGACCATTCACAGATTAAATTGTATTCATTCCTGCCTTGTAATTCAGAAGAATGAACAGAGAAAAAACGGATTTGAATATATAGCTCAAGATATCTTACTATGTCAAACACTGCCTCAGTCCACTAATTCTGCTGAGGTTCCAAATTGCAAGTACTGCAAAAAAGCCCCAGTCACAGAGCAGAGGTGTGGGAGAACTGGCTCTGACTTGGCCAAGCAAGGACTTTTGCCATTCCCCCATTACTGAGTGTTTTGAAAGGTAAATAAATTACTGGATTTGTCTCTTCACAATAGAAGCATCCTTAAGAAGCAATGGCTTCCTTACTGCAAAACCACCATAATCAGATTTTGCTTGGCAAACTAGCCGAGCATAAGATACAGTCCCAGCTGTCTCTGGAGCACCAGCTTTTGCAAGGAAAAGTACAGAAGTTAAGGTTTATCTCTACTCTGCAGTTCATCTCTGGACCCTTATGATGGTTGTTGGGCGTTTGTAATACGTGATGTCCACCTCAGTTATCTGCCTTAGGGAGAACAGCATGATTTATAATTAAGGCAGTATAATGGAAATTTAAGGGACATGGTTCCTGTAATAACTACACAAGCATCCTGCAGGATCGTTACAGAGGATATGTATTGGTGGTCTCAAGACATTCCTGTCAGGGTGCTCCTGGACAAAACTCAGGCTGCCTATCTGAAATGATGACTTAGGAGCTAGAAATCCGAAAGGGGAAATCAGCTCCCGTCCTATTGAGACGGTCTCCAAATGTTCCTTAGAGAACTCCAGAGCCTGGAGAGACATTGGACTGCCCCTCAAGGACATTCTTACATTAGCTTATAACCAATCTACCTATGCCAAGAAGGAAGCAAGCTGAACTACAACACAGCAGCATTTTTGCATCTGGAGGACATGTTCTCAAAGCAGCAAAACATCTTTGTTATGAATGTAGCATATGTGGTACTCTCCCTCTGTTTGGCAGGAGATAAGAAAAACAGAAGCAAGCAAAACGAAAACAAAATGGAGCATATAGACATCGTGAAACAATTACAATGCTGTGTCTCATTAGTATCTAAATTTGGGATTGGCACTCTTGTTTTAAAAACAGTTTTGTTCAACACTCAGTGATAGAATTTAAAAGCTGACATATCTTGCAGTATCATGGTCCACAGCCACAGCTGGTGTAAATCAGTGTAAACTGATGAAGTCAGTGGAGCTTCTCTGATTTACACTAGCTGAGGTTAGACGCGCTTTCTAGGAGTGTTCACGAAAGCCAACTTGTGTGTGTCCTGTGATGAAGTGGTTATTTATAATGGCCTTCAGTGTGGTTTGGAGCCAAATTTCCACATCAAAAGTAGCTTTATAAGAGATATCCTTACAGTGAGGTTCAGTGCAAAATCATGACTTCAGAAGCCAGCTTTTCTCGTGCTTTCAGTATTTGATTTCAGCCTGAAAACCATTTGAGAGGCCAAAAAAAGCAGAGCCATTCCTGCCTACTTCCCCAGCTCTGCTTCATCTTTGAGTCTACTGCGTATCCAGCAGGCCCTGACCTACACTGCCTGTTTATCAAAGTGAGTTACTCTAAGTGTCTATTTATTTATGTTCAGAAATTCTCAGTAAGACAGGGAAGTTTCATGCTCAACCTGAAAAATTGGGGGTGGAGGTAGAGCTCTTACCAGATCCAGAGCTATTTGTTTGGTTTGGCCACCAATAAAAATAAAATACAATCAAGTGTCCCAGAGTCATAATGAGAGGTGGAGGTCACAAGAAAACAGATCATGTCTTTCACAGCTCTTCAGTTTCAGCTCAGTGAATTATAACCCCTATTATTTACTTACTGGATTCCCCACCCCATGTGCAGGCTTCAAGCATTCAAAAAACAACAGGTCTCTAAAGAGCTGACAGGCTAAGCAAGAAAGTAAAACTTGTCCCCACATTTTACTAACCACCTTGTCCACTTCACATCCAGAAAGACCAGATGCTCTCACAACCCTCAGCTGGCTTCTGCTCACCAGGCTGTCGTGCCGGAAGACCCGTACCTGCACACTTCAGCACTCTCCTCTGCCATAGGTAACAGCTTACTTCCCCTACTTCTATGCCTTGATCTGAAGACTGTAACTTACTGTTCCTAAGAGTTTGCAGGGTTAACTTGTTACCGTAAAGGCAAATATTGTATTTTCTCTACTTAACAAATTCCACAAAGGCTTGTTCTTCCCCCCCCGCCCCTTGTTATATTGCTTCTGTTCTCCTCACAAGCACCTGTTGTGTGCTGTTTTCTCTTCTCAGATTCTGCCAGGGAAAAAACTGTGTGAGGCAGTTTTGCTTAAGCTGTGCATTGTTCAGCTTTTTAAAGTGTTGAGGTCACTCATTGGTCTTCCCACTTCATAATGCAAATCAAAACCAAACAAAATTCCTATCTTTTGTTATTCATTTCCAGAAGCAGTTGGATAATCTCAAAACCTAGGGAAATTCTCTTAACTATGGAATATTTTAAAAACAAATCTACCCAGCAAATGAATTTCACTTCTGTTAATTGCCCTCCCACAGCCTTTTAATATTTGGCTGTAATTTTGGTTTTTAATGCATCTGTATTCTTACTAGGTTTGAACTGGAAGGCAATCAGACAATTCTGAGATAATAAGCAGGAAAAACAACACAATTCCATTATCCCAAAAGGAACTAGAAATAGTTAACTAGGCACAAGTAATGAAGCTGGTTTCCTCACCATCAGAATTCATCCTGGACCACAGAGTTACGGAACTTCCCTTGAATTAGGTTGGGGCAAGGACAGGAAACTGCATCTTCTAAACTTTAGAAATAGATCTTAAACATATAAACATAAGATATTATGCCCCTATCTTTTAAGTAACATTTATATTACCTAAAATAAACAGTCTTTCTGAAGTTAGTCTGTAATTGACATCTGACACAGTCCACATTGCAACAGATATGATAAGTGCAGTAAACAGTAGAAATTATGCTTCTCTATGCTCTGAGAAACATTCATATTTCCTTACACAGATAAACTTTATTTTGTTGCTATGCAACCCTCGCACAACACACTACATTCTGCAGTAAATAAGAGTACAAATTTTACAACCGAAGGGCAAGCATTTGGCCTTTTGGGTTTTCTCCCTGTTTTGAGTTCCAGCCCCAGCTTTAGTTCATATTGTAATATTCCATCATTTTATTACAAAGCCGCCTCTAAGGCTCAGTAAGGGATATCTCAAACAGAGCAAAAAGGGAGAATCAGGATGTAGTGATAGGAAACAACTAGTGGAGGAGGGCCTGAACCTGTCCCAGTTTCTATCAACAGTAAAACTCCCTGGAACAGTGAAATTAAGACTTTTTTTTTTTTTTTTTTTTTGAAATCTTCCTTAAAAATTAACACTAAATTTCCAGAATAAGGTTTTCAAAAGATTTCTGCAGTGGTCTCTCCCAGCTCCTAGCGACATTAACTGCAATGGAAGTGAGATGATGAAGAGCCACCCTTAGTTTTACCCAGGATGAAATTAGTAGAGTCTTACCTCCTCTGCCTGCTCACTCCAGGACAGATCACTTAACACTATAAAGCTACTCCTATATTCTGTACAGTTGCAAAATTTCTCCTGGATTCATTGGATGTTTGGATTGTTCAGAGAAGAGGAAGAGAACCTGTACCCCTCTGTATCCTCATCATAAACAGAGTGATTAATACTAAGCTTTACCTGTCTAAAGGGTATTCAGGAAAACTACATGGAGCCACTAGGTTGCTTTTAGTACTGCCTTCCCAAGTCATGGGTTAATACCTCAATTATTCAAATTTCTCTTTTGTCCATGGCTGCAGATCCTACAAACTCCTCCATAGAGTCAGCGTTCAGTTGCCCTTGAGCAGGTAGTCCAGTTGCACACGTGATGTGCCATAGCTGCATGGCAAGTGCCTGGAAAGTCGCAGGGTATGGCAGGCCTTAGGCACAACGCTGCTCATATGCAGTCCTGGTCTGGAAAAGCTGGAGATGCACTCACATACTTCTGCACCCTATCTAAATATCCCTGCCAGACTCAGGCTAGCTATATACAGGAACTAGTTGAGTGCCTCTCCACTGTATTTCTGGAGTTAAGAGCACTCCTCATTGGTCTGTAAGTAGCTCCACACATCCAGCAGGACTTGCTGGCCTTGGCTAAGGATATGATGCCCATAGGCCTTGCTGGGCCTGCACTAATCCTGGAGCCATTATAATATCTCTGCACTTCACACACCACAGCACCTGATGGTCCTTCTGTTGTCTAGGTTTTTCCCTCCTGAAATTTACTTAGCCTCTCATCACCACAGAAATAGAGAGCTGGCTGTGGTTCTGAAGGACCAAATGGTCCTCTTGAGCTTGTGGCTACATGAACAAAAGGGTGACAGGCATAAACTTACAGTTCATCAGCTGCTCTGCCCTGCCTGCCCCAGAATAAAAGTGCTATTACTCCTCAATTAAAACACCACTGAGAAAACGTGCAGGCAGTTACTGTAAGGCAACCGAAGTTCTGCAGAACTGCACCACAGCTTGATTCGTGGTGGTTCTTCGTGAATATGGTGCTTTTTATTTGAGAATGGGTTAATCATATGAGGCTCTGTTAAGGCCCATGGTCCTTAGAAAGACCCCTTCATTTCAGAGATTCAAGCCACCAGTTAGCCAGATGCTGCTTGCTCTGCTCCCAGAAGGAACTCTGGCATGTGAGATTCAGGATGCACACTAGCAAGGGCCCAGAAAGGGCCTGGTGCCTCTGGGGATTTACTTATAGACAGACCCGTAACGGCCTTTCAGGCGCTTGACAAAGTCCACGTGGCTGCATTATATCAGAACCAGCTTCTAATCAGTGAGAGGTATTGCCAACATGCATCTTCTATCATTTCTAGTATTCCAAAAATAAAAGCCAATCTCAAGGAGAAACTAGCCATTTTAAGCTTTCTTTGTACATCAGAAAGCAGAGGGCAGGAAAGGCACAAACTCCATTTTACTTACATTCATAACACATCACTTGGGACCTTCTGGCACCTGAATTTCTCTATCCACAGAAAGCAGGAAGCAAGAAACACGCTCCCGTCTTTTGAAGTGTGGGGATCAATAGCCAACCTCTGCCTATAAATTCAGGACAAGGATAGAGATGCAGTAAGTGCCCATTGTTACACCACAGACTTATCCAAGAAATAATCTAAAACACTGTCAACAAATGAGCCCAAGTGAAAAATTGGACTCAAGACTCCAGCTGGGTGCAGTCAGCATAGTTTGTGGAAGGCAATCAGGCTACAAGGATTTGCACCAGCCAAGGATCTGACCTGTATCTGGTACACATATGTAACTTCTCCAATTTTGCTTTGTTTTTCAGTTCTTTACAGCTAAAAGTCCCCTGAGCTCCTTACTCAACTACAAGACTACACTGTATAAAGGAATAGTATATAGTCAGTAGGGAAATTATACTAGGTAAATAGGAAAGCAGTATTTAATCTCTATGATCTAAAGCATAGTTTCTCTAAACAGTGAACAAAAAGTATCCTTTGAATTTCAAAATTCTGCCTTTTGATAGTTGTTTGCTATCAAAACATTTCTGTTTATAGTTTCATTTTAACAACAAAGTTACTTCAAGGCATGCAACTTAATATTAGCACTTGTATACACATAATTAGGTAGAAAACACCTCCGAGTTTCTGTGTTGGTCTAGTATAAGGGCCCATCTCTAATCATAACTCCCAGTACAGGGAGCTTTCCAGGAGAGCCTAGCAGTATACGGGAACACCTGTCAAACGTGTTTCAAGTACTACTTGAACAAATGATCTCATAAAGAATGACCAGCCAGCCCTTCTCAGTAAGGATTGCAGGAAGAAGCCCAAAGAGTGAAGGCAGTTGCTTTTTGTCCAGTGACACACTTCTATACAATAGGCAACAGCTGAGGCGATAGTCTTCAGTCCTAAATCTTGGAAACCAATACTTGATCCCTTCGTATCAGCGTCCTGTCAATTTCTTCCACACTCCGACATCCTGGAGGAGAAATTACACATAAGTTGAAAGCCCCACTTTTCTGAAAAGGTGAAAGTAAATTACTAAGAAAGAAGTTTCATAGTTGGGGCCCAGATACCAGTTCTGCAGAATCCAGTACTCCACCACAGATCGTCCACGTGGCCCTTCATAGTTCTCAGCTCCAGGAGCTTACAACACCCTAGCAGAGGCCTTCAGCATAGCACTGGCCAGGGCACAGGCTGCGGGCACCATCTGCAAATATTTCACAGCACAGGTGGCTGCACTGAGGTTGTCTCAGATATTGCAGCCTGCCTAATTCAAAGCTCCCAGCGTCAGTTTCTCTCCCCTGACACTGGGCCTCTAACTGCACAGGTGTTATATATGAGCTAGTCATTCCAGACTCTGCTTTTAGTGAGTGAATAAGGTGCTTTCTGACCTGGCTTACCCATCTGCTTTAGGACTAAATGAACTGTGCCCTGGAGAACCAGGCAACCTAGATCCAATGTGAACATCTCTTCCCATAGAAATCTATATTTTGCCAGATGACAAAACCCTTATTGACTGAGGATTTGCCACTACTTATCAAATGAGTTATTGCTCTCCTTGTTCTTTTTTTTTTTTTAATGCGTTTTCACTTCATCCATCTGCGACTCAATTCCCCATCTGTAAGCCAGGGATAACAGCACTTCCTTTTCCCACCTCTCCTCATCCTTGTCTATTTATATTACAAACTGTTCCATTTCCCTTGTATAAGTTAGTGTAGCATCTTGCCCAAGGGGCCTCTCACCTGGTTTCCCATAACAAGCAGAATAAATCAATAAAGACTTTGGAGCAGAAGACTCAGCGCTGAGATCTTGACTTTGGGTGGGGTATTGAAGCACTGCTATCAGATTTACAATAGTAAAGCTTTCCTTGCAGGATAAAGTCCTCTTTAAGAAGAGAGATCATTTAGAAAGACTGTCTGATGTGGAGGAAGAATGGATCTAATCTCCTTCTGCCTTTTAAAGCATATCGGAGCCAGAAGCAGGAGTCTACGAAGACCACCATTATAGGAAAAGGAAGAAGGTAAGAGGGAGTTATCCTTTTCTGAAGAGCATGACTTTGGGACTGATGCTCCAAGGGAAGGATAGGAGTGAGAACGTACCAACCAGACTCCCACTTGCCCCAAAAGTGGTGTAGCTCCAGACCAAAACCACCACAAGCGAGTCTGAACAGGAACCCCAGGCCCAAGTCTGAGGATAGCACAAACGGCCACACTCCCACGCTGGCAGGCCACGCACATTTCCACAGTGCTCAGCTTCCCCAGAAGGGTACAATCTGAGCTGGCAGCATGAGTGCTACTCTGCTGTCGCTGCTGAGCTGGTACCAAGAGAAGAAGGGAGCTAGCTTGTCTGTCATTTCCCTCTACTGCCTCACACATGAAAGAAAGGGAGGATTTTGGCCACAGCTTTCTAAAGATCTTTGGGATTCTCAGAGATGAAAGTATGAGGAAATGAGAGTCAGATATGGTTATTTCTGAGAAGAAGTGTAGATGTCTTACCCGTCAGTGCCATTGCCAGGCGAAACTCTTCCTTCAGCATCTGGAGAACTTCCTTGGCTCCTTCTTTCCCCTAGCAGATTAGAAAACCATGTGTACTATTAAGTGTACATATGGCATATGTGTGTGTATATATACACATGTGTGTGTGTGTGTGTGTGTGTGTATATATATATATGTATCCAGAAAGTTTCATGGACAATCCAAACTCTTAACATTTAAGCACTCGTCGTCATAAGTTTTAGATTATTAGATGGTCTGGATACACAGAGACACACTCCAGAACCCTCGCACACACACTCACACATATGTGCACACCTGTACACATACGTGCATAAACTGAACCAAAACAGCCAGTCCTAATATCTAAAAATGTAAATTTGAGCTTTTCCTGACTTACTTGATAAACCAAGCCCCATATGAGAGGCCTTCCGATGAATACTGCTTTGGCTCCAAGAGCTAATGCTTTGAGAACATCTGTGCCTTTTCTTACACCACCATCTAGGAACACCTCCACCTTCCCCTCTACAGCCTCAACGATTTCAGGCAAGACATCGATCTAGAAGACAAAAACCAGGAATACAACTTGTTCATTTCTGCAACCCTATTTATTTTTTAAAAACAAATTCTCATGTCCAGGACCTAAGCTTCAGAGAAGCTAAATGAGCAACTGCATGCCTAATCACATGCACAAATAATGCAGTTTTGTGTTCAAAAGTGGAAGTGACTTAGCATGTTAGCAGATATATACAAAAGTTGACTTTATTTGGACAGTCACATAAATAAAATGAGAATCACCAAGGTCACACAAAATTTCCATCTGATCCCATGACATGCATCCAACACAAGCCAATATCAGATGCTTCTGAAGAATAAAAGAAACAGCGAGCACAGAGGAGGCCTTTCCTTGGTATTACCCCCTAAACTTCCAGAGTTCACTAGGTTAGGGATGAAACTGAATTTCTGTGAATTTCTTTCTAAATAACCGTCTTCACTTTCTTGCTTAAATTCATCATTCATTTGTATTAAGGGTCACCTAGGATCGAGCCCAAGACAGGCATCGTACCGATAGGCATGGAGTAAGAGAAGGATTTGTCCAAGTTTTTGTGAATGTGTTTTTCCGTTTGAGAACACATCTTGATCAAAGCAATAGTTTTAGAGAGAACTTCTTTATATAAGAAAAATTTGGCCTTCTCTGAGTACTTTTGCAGTTTTTCCATTTTAACATGAAAAAGGTAGGAAATGTTTATCGAATCTAATGCATGTGTATGTTGCTTTCACCAGGCTCTGCTTACACCCTACCGGAAGGGCAAGGGGGAAAGGATGTTTACCATTCCCAAGTCGCAGGTAAGTAACCAAGGAGTTAAGCAACATGTCCACAACACACAAGAGGTCCCAAGAAGAGAAGAGTCTCCTGAATTCAAGACTCAAGTATTAATTACACAGCAATCATTCCTATAATGCCTAAATGGTTCCTATTCATGAAAATCAGGAAAGACAAGACTGGAAGCCAAGTATTAAGAAGACTGGAAACAGTGTGTGGTAGTAAGACAAAAGGCACACAAATTCATGTCTTTCAAAAACGGATGTAATTCATTTCCTTTCTAACGGATAAAAAATGACTTAGGAGATGGGGGGAAAAAAAACTTGAAAGTGCAGTTTGTTTTTAGATTTGGATTAAAATTTTCTTGAAGTTTGGCACTTGCTGTGATTTTTTTCCCCTCCCTTTGGTTTTGCTCTCTTGCCAAACATATTTTGGATCTAGTTCCATATACATAGGCCACTTTTTACATCCTGACAAACTGCACCAACATTAAAGTGCTATAATAACTAATAACTAAAATATGATGCAAACCATAATTAAAATATATATTTCCTCAATGCGTAACTAGACGCTAGAAATATCAACCAGCTTGGGTTCAACTCACGTTCTTACAACCCATGAAATTAAAGCAAATTATGATGTCTCAAAAACAGAAACACTTAAGCATGATCTGATACAGATATTTACATTATGAAAACTACATTGTGAAATACAGGTCTCTCTGCAAGACAAAATTCAGTGAACCTACCCCTTTAATACTGCCTTCTCCTCTGCATTGCAATGTCGCAAAGAAATAACTCATAACAGTTAGTTTTCAAATTTAATTTTATTCTATTGCAGTCAGCAAAAAAATCCCAAAAAACAAATTTCTTGAGTTTTCTCATTTTTCAAAATGATTTTTTAATATCCTCGTACATTCTTCCCATAAGATTACCTCACACAGACATGCCTAAGATTTTCAAATACAGTTAGTGAAATTGGGGCCTACGTTCCCATAAGAGAATGAGAAGATGAAGACAATAGATATTAAGGAAAAAAAAAAAAGAAAAATCCTTCATTTTCAGATACATTAGGCCCCCACAACACTGAAAATCCAGTTCCTCTTGAAGCGTCTAAAACTGAATAGCTGCCAACTCTCCAAAAGCACCAACATCAACATCTCAACATTGAAAAATCTCAAGCTCTCTCTTTTGAAACTGGGAGATAAGTCCTAACACCTGTGGTCTCTCTCCTACCGATCAGCAGTAATCCCTGGAGATGCAGTCAGGCAAGAGCTTCTAGAAAGACAGTGCCTCAACTTCACTAGCCATGGTTTGGAAAACCATCTGTGCCTGGTGTTTGGCTCCCTGATGCAGGGCTTTGTATGTTTGCTTGCCAGGAGAAGCGGCAAGCACATTCAAGAGATTGATGGGTCTGTGTGAGGGCCTCCATAAAGCAGAGGGCGTAGAAAATCAGCAGGGCTGCCCCCAAGGAGAGAAGCAGAGAGCCGAAGTGCTCCCAGGGAGAAGGGGATGTGCAAGGTGAGCCTGCTGAGCTGAGTGAATAAAACTTGACATTCAAACACTGAAAAAGCGCTTACCTGTCCTCCAGGAGGTTATTCATCAAAGGCATATTAGAAACACTGAAATAGTCATAACTGGGCTTTGATTCTCCTCCCTTTCATTCTCTTTCTTTCTTGCAGTTTTCTCACACCAAATGAAGCAGGATGAGTGATGACTGGAATTTTAGGTTTTTCCTGCAGCCTGAACACATACTTTTTCATTTTGCTTTACTTCTTTCTCTTTGCCAGTTGAGAACTTCTCAAATCCCTTTTCAACTTTGGAAAAGGTGCAGGGTAGCACGACAAGGAAAAGGGAAAAGGAAAAATACTGTAATTTAACCACACCATACCTTTTCCAAAGGTGAAAATATTTGAAAGGAGCGTTTCATCTTTCCTTTACCTGTTCTGTAACTCTAATTTTTTCAGAAGTCTCTGAAGAATATTAGAAGCGGAAATCAACTCCAGCACAGCCTTCAGTGTATGGCAGACTGCAACAAAGGGAGGGGATGGGAAAGGACAAGTGGAAAAAGTAGACTGGAAAAAAAAATTAAACAGTTTCCACTTTCTAAAAATTTAACTGACAGTAATATGCCATGAAAATACAGGGAGGAAAAAAGTAAAGTTTGGTTCTATGATTCCACCCCTGAAAAATAGCTATGAAGTCTTTTATAATTCCCTCACCATCTTGTTCAATCAAATAATTATTTCCTACCTGGTTCCACGTATGGAACCTTCCTCTCCCAGGGTCTCTGATAAGAGCATGCACATGCATTAACTCTGCATAAAGCAAAATCTATTTATCTTTCCCAGGTTGCCAGGCCTTCTCAGGACTGATATGAGAAAGACCCAGTCACTCTGAGGGATATCTATATTGCAGTAAAAGGTGAGACTGCACCTCCCATGCAGACAAACATGGCGACAGTCAAGTGTCACTAGCTCAGCAGAGGGCATCCCCAGGCTGGGAGGTGGGTTTTGCAGACTCTGAAGTTCCCTGCTCCTTTGGCAGTATCCCTTGCAGTACTCGACAAGAGTGAACTCCCTAGCTCAGGATTGTCCCCACGGGCAGTCCTGCTGCCTTTAAGTACAGTGGAGATCATGCCTGCCTTGATGTAAAAAAAATAGGAGAACACCGAGGACTGGGCCTGTGTGGGTCTCTGTGCAGGGAAGAGAGATCAGTTTGCTATCATTCAAACCCCTGACAAAAAGAGGACTCTCTGCTTATTGCAATACTGAGATATTTCAGCCAATGCAGCTTCATTTGGCTTGTCCCCATGGCTAGTCCACCCAAACATAACAACTTTCCTCTTTAGATGTGACTTGCTGCCTCCAGAGTGTTTACTCTATGCTCCAGCGCATTGCCTTCATGTCTGCCAGCAAGACGGAGGTCACATCACATCAGTTTGATGGAGGACATATGCCCAAATTCCTTGGACTGCTAAAGCTTTGATTTATCTATAGTGTCTCAAATGCCAAGGACTACTCTTGTCCTTTTCCTAGTCTCTTAAATGAGCTAATCTGAAACTGCTCCTCTGGATTACTCTGCAGAATGCTGCAGCTAGAACAAGGTGCCCGGGTAGCTTGAAGAAACAGCCGCACAAACCCTTCTGTGGTTTTTCTTTTGATCTGACCAAAGGGAGGATGGGTCTACCTCTGAACATGTTGTGACATCCTGAAGACCAAGGAGAGAGAAGGGGAAAGATGGAGAGAGACTGCTGCTCGTGGATTAAGGTGGACATCATATGGATTGAGTGAACAGCATATAGATTTAGAGGTTTTCTTTCTAACTACCATGCGTTGAGGAAAAAAAAAACAAGAAGCCAGAGGCAGAGTGAATCAGAGACTCCTGGTGCATACTGGCACCAGTACTTACAGTTGCAGGAACCCCATCCAGCTGTCGTGCTCCATGATTTGACACCAGGATCCCATTTACCCCATTCTTCACAGCCTCTTTAGCATCATCAGCTGAAAGAAAAAAAAATACATATATAGCCTTCCAGAACGGGCAACTCATTGACACCTCCATGAGGGAAATTACAGCATCACTAAAAAAAAATATATTGCCAGCTAATGGGAAGCCAAAGTATGGCGCTCCAGTCCCTACCTACTGACATAAAAACACCCATACCATAGCCATACAAGCTATCTGAGAACTCCAGGTACTTCAGCAGCTGTGTTTGCCAATATCTTGGCTGCTTTATTCATATTCATTCCTGTGCTCTTTACGTTCCCGTCAGGAAGGGTAACAAGCACATCCTTGCCAGATAAGTCACAAACATTGAGCTGTATCTTCAAGTAGCAAAACACAATACCTGCTGCTTTGACTTTTCCTCAGCCAGGGAAATGACCAGCAGGGACTGAACTATGTTAAGAGGAAAAAAAATCTGTCTGCTTCAAAGACCATCTTCCATAAGATGAGCTTGCATACAGAGCCAACGTTAACAGGCACCCTCCCCACTTCCCACTGAACTGAACCTAACTGGAACTGATGGGCATTTAGTAAGGTCTGTCACCTTGCAAATGCTAACCAGGATGCATCAGGAAGTAAAAGGTTTTTCTTTGATCCTTTTTGGCTTTGTTTTGGCAAATCGTCCCTACTCAGCAGAGCACACGAATATGAACATGCATCCCAACATAGTTAGTGTTGGTGGACTGGATGCTTGCAGTTATGAAAGACTGCTCGTAATGCAGTTCTACAGAAACTTTAGCAGGATTTCCTTCCCTGGTGCCTATACAAGAAGCAACACCTCACCCCCCTCATGGAAAGCAGCATTGCTACGCACCTCTGAGGATTCCTTTTGCAACAATGGGCAGTGAAGTCAGACCTCGAAGCCATTTAATGTCCTCCCATTTGAGGCTTGCATCAATCACCTCGGCTACATACGCGGCCAGTCCGCTATTTTCTCCAAAGTCTTTCCCAGAGAAGGCCAAATCATCACTTGAAAAATTTTTTAATCTAAAAAGACACAGAAAAGTAGTCTGAGAAACACTCATTGTATTATTAGTAGTGTCAGTCCCTAACATCAGCTTTTAACACACCTCCGTTCAACTTGAGTTGCGTTACAGGATGGGAGCAAAAGCACCTACACGAGCATGTCAGATCACATTCCTTATTAAGCCAAAACCATTTGACTGGTGAAGCATTTGATAGCTCTGGTGCAAAGTGCTCTTGCCAAAGGCAACATTTTTATTGTTTTAATTTTAAGAGACAAGACCAACCCAGAATCTAAAGGTTCAGCATCAAACCCACAATCAGGAGGCAGAATCCAGCAGTGAGAGCACTAACTAGGGATTTGGGTTCAAGTGTCTGTCCTGCCATATACTTCCTGTGCAACTCTGAGCACGACATTTACCCATCGCTTTTGCCACAGTTTCCCTACCCTAAAATATAGACAGCAGTATCTCACAAGATCACTGTGAGGATAAATGCATTAGAGGTGCATCTCTACTTATCAGCACCAGCAGCAAAAACCCCCTTGGCTTTCACAGAAAGATTTTATCCCTGGCATTTGACTACTGTAGGAAACAAGGGATTGGCTAGGTAGGAGGGGGATAAGATGAGAAGGAAGTTTTGTTAAGCTCCACGACTTAGATGGATCTGCATGAAGGTTTGTAAGGAATTCAGAATCTTCATTTGACTGACAACATCCAGTCAGTTCATCCTTTGCCCTTTTTGTACGTTTCCATGTAAAATGAAGGAAAAAAAATCAAAGTTCACATAAAAGTGCTAGTTATTCGCTCTTTAGCGCCAAACCAATCTCACCAGCTCTAGGAACTGAATGGTAAATGACAGTCCCTGCACCAAAGAGTTTACAGTCTTACTAGACAAAACAGGAGCAGAGCAAGTAAGAACATATCAAAAAGCTAAGGCTGTGCCTATACTGGAAAGCTGAAGTAGCCCCCAAGGCTCACAAGCACTAAAACACCATCAGTGACACCAGTACCACTAAGGGCACCATCCATCCCAGCACTAGAAATCTTCTCAGGCACCTGTAATTTACCAGTAGATAACGGTCAAATTGTCTAAAATCATGCTTCTATTCCTGACTTGATGCATGAGTGAAGCACAAGTCTGCAGTCGAAATTTCAGGTCCTAACCCTAACCGAATGATTGCTGTTTTTCAGAAACTGTGTTTCATTCCATATTAGCCTATTTTATTCTCATATTCCACATTTTGGGAATACACAGTATTTTTGCACGGAAACCGAGTGGTTTCACTTCTGATTTCATGCCTGCAACAAGTAGCATTTCACATGGCTTTCCTATTCAGCTCCAGGCACAGAAGAAAATGAGAAAGGAGCAGGCTCTCTCAGCAAGACCCAGCTTTTCAGCTGTTGGCTTATGGAGGGTGGGGTACCCAGAGAAAAACAGAACCATGGATAAGATTATATAAATAACTGTTGTTTTTCTTGGACTGTGAAATGCAGATCAACACTTGAATGAATGTTGCCTTACATACATTTCTGAGCACAATGGCACCTTGTTGTTACTTCAAAACTTTGTTGAAAGTCTAAAGCCAAGAAAAAGTTATCATATAACCGTGCAAAGCCCTACACTAGAGAATTTCACCTCTGACTCTGCAACAAAACACTGTCCGAATATCATTTGAAAATCTGAAGTGATGAATTCGAACCTTTAAAGATTACTCTAGCTTAATATTATTTCATATGTTTCACTCAATTAAACAAAACTCGTTATGGTTGTGTCACGTGGGGTCAACTTTGGATTATTTGTCTCATGCTGAAACTGTTTAACTCTAGTTCTTAAAATATTGCCCCTGAGAAAAGCTATTCCACCCCCAAAAAAACATGTTTTCCTTAGGTAAAAGGACAGTGTGTATCAATAATGTTTTGTCAATTGCAGATCCATGGCAGGATTAAAACATGGGGCATACGCATATCGGGGTACTACGTTTTAATGCCAGATTTGTCAGGAGTTTCATGCCTTCCAGTGCTTTCCTCATGAGATTGTACTATAATGCAGAAAAAGTCATAGGCAGAGCTAAGGCTGTGCTGTCAACCTTCACCATATCATTTATTAGTCTCACGTACAGGCACAGGGAGGAAGATCTTACACTCTGACCTCTAGAGCTCTGCACCAGGGAGGAAAACAGTTAGCTTCATTATACAGCTGGGTGGCTTATATTTGAATTGAATATTACCAAAATGACTAAGGACTTCAGGATGTTATTATTTCTTGTTACGTTCATGTTACATACAGTATGTACATAGCATAACATAACATTCTTGGGAAACATAGCACTTCAGATCCATTAAAAATATTCCATATCAACTTTCACCCAAAACTCAAATCAAAGTTAATCTGCTTCAAAACACCCTTCCCCACCTCCTTCCATTTTTGTGTTCCTTTGCATCACAGGCTCTGGATAAGAGCAAACACACTAGTCTTAACATATGCCATTGCAGGCTACAGTCAATACCAGGACCTACATGCAAAGGAAAAATCCTGTTCGTACAAGATTTTAGCTCCATTTTGCAAACCAAAGTACTGGATAATCCATGCAGTAAGTGTTCTTCCTTAGCTGCTAACACTGCCACAGCTTTATCAAGTGTTAATAGGGGTGGTCTGTACAGCACATCAGTTTATATTTGTGAAAGGCAGGTGAAATCACTTTGGCATCAGTGCACTTTGAACACCCCTAGAGAACTCTAAGTTAAATGCTGCATAGGCCCAGTAATAACAAGGGTCTAGAATTAGCGCTGAAGTCACTTACTATGCCACTAATCCTGCTGAGATAAAGAAAATATCTCAGAAGATGCACGGGGGTGGAAATTGCCCTCATGGATCATTTAGAAACGTTGACCCTCATGTATTTCTGTGTTTGACTAAAACATGAATTGAAGCTGCTTAGAAGGGGGCTTGATGATTGGAAGCGATATCGCCTCAGACCGATTGCAGAATCATAGAATAATATAGGTTACAGGGGACCTTTCATGATCATCTAGTCCAACCCCACTGCTCAGATCACAGCCAACTTTGCATTAGATACAACTCAAAAGATCAGGTTGCTCAGGGCCATGTCCAGTTGAGTTATGAATATCTCCAAGGATATATTGCCAGATAAATAAAGAAATGCCCCATCACGCTAACTTCAGCGGTCTGCAGCCTCAGGCTGCCCAGCACACTATATGCATCTTTTACAGTGTGCAAACAGCCAAGAAAGCTTACTTCTGTCCTCAGACGGACCATAGCGGGAGCAAAGCAAGCGCCGCTTGCTCAGTTCACTAGCGATAAAGCTGAGAGTGGTGTATGTCACGCCACAGTTTGTCACACCAGCAGAAACGAATCCACTAGCGGCATCAAAGGATAGGCAGCAGTGGTGATGACCATGGCCCTGTGCCACCGGCAAGCGAATACCTGAGGTGCGGAGGAAGCTGGAACTTGTTGCGCGTGTCGTCGATGCGCCTGCCAAGGAACGGCGTGTCCACTGTCACGAAGATCCCTTTGTAGCCTGCTCTCTCCGCACGCTTCACCAGGGATTTGGTGACCTCCCGGTCCTTGTATATGTAAAGCTGCAGCCAGTGAAGGCCAGCGGGAGCTGCCTCAGCAACCTCTTCAATGGAGGAGGTGGCCCAGGAGCTCAGCATCATTCCTATCCCCATTGCCTGGCAAGCTGGAGGAACACAGAGTTATATTAGAGCCTTTTCCAAACATGGAGTCTCCTCTAAACAGGAGCACTTGGCATGAATCACAAGTGCACATAATTTCACACTTCCTTTCCTCAGTGTACAAGCACATTTGCAGTCTTTCCGGGAAGGCTAGATTATTAGTAGCTCTTATTAAAAGCACTAGGCTGCTGTATGAGCTCTCTAGCTTATTCTCTGCTCAGTTGTCTACATGCTGTTTGTGGACAACTGCACCCCTGCACCAATACTGTAAATAAAGGACTTTACACTCAGATTGAGCCTCATCCCGTATTACTAATTCTTCCTCTTTACAGGGAGCCAGTTTGTAAGCCCCTAGAATCTGGCTACCACTTTTCAGAAATTTTGGTGCACGCATTTAAGGACATATATACATACACACACAGTTATAAATGACCTAAAAAATGCATTTAAGGCTTCAAACTTTTTGGGTGCTGCCACATTGCTACAGATTTGTATTTCAGAACTATCATTCTCAGTGTTGCTCTGCTGTCCTCCTCACCATCACCACCACACTTCTCCTAGAGTACTGGCTACTTTTCTAAGTTTTGATCGTGACATTTTGGCTCCTTTCTCCCACACCCAAAATGCTCACTACATTAAACTCATCTTTCTTAAACTGCTCTTCTAAAACTTTTCTGAGCAAGCTGAGCGATGTCCTCAATATGAGGTATTCCAGGGCATAATAGAAAAAGAAGGAAGAAAGGACATAGTCCAATAGGCAACCTTGTTACATAGATATGATCCCAATTATGATGGGCAAGACTTCCATCTAGCAAGTATTGCTTATTTTATGTACCCTACTGATTACAAAAGGGTAACTACTGGCCTTACTACTGGCCTCAGGAGTAAGAGCTTCTGATTTTGCAATACAAGAGCTAGAGGATGCAAGCAAAAAGCACCAGCTAAATTGAATTTCCCTCTAATATGAATTAATATTTAGCTAGAGGGATGGTCACTCTTAAAAAAGAATAGTTAAACTTCTTTCATGAACATGCCTTTAACTTAACATGCCTCCTTATCATAATACAATTTTGGGAAACAACAATTTCTAAAGATGAAATGTTAAAACATGATAAAAATGAACATCATAAGTAGCAGTCCCCACCCAGGAGACCCAGAAAGAAAATACAAAGATGAGCAGGTATAACAGACAAGTGATCTCTAAAGTCTCAGCTGTGGCCAGCTGAAGGGACAAGAGTTCATACCTAGCATCTTTTGGCCTCTCCTCCTTCATCTTAGGAAACTACAGAGAGAAATCCCCCCGAGATGCTGGCAGCCAAGAGATTAAACATCACTGAACAATCCCAAATAGGGTTAAGCAGCTCAAGGTTGTACTGGCTGCCTCCACAGGGCAGAATTCCACCCTGGGCTGTACTACAAGCCAGCTAACCTCATACAATTAAGTGACAGATTCGTAAAATCTAATGTGAAATAAAGGAAAACACACTGTAAAATGCAGAAATATTACATAAAGCCCTATTTTTCTTGGTCTACCTCAGTATGCATACTTTTAATGTAAATGGACCTATGTTTCAAAACCTCATCTCCATCCTATAGAGGTATTAAAAAGTAGCCTTTATGACAGCATTTTATTAAATAAGGATTACAAATCTCTTAGAGTGGAGATGTATGAACAGTTTATTCAAACAAACTGGTTACATCCTCTCACAACCACTAGGCAGCTTTCAACCAGTGAAAATAACCATGCTTTGCTCTTCTGAGAGCTACCTCATGAAGAGCTGTAAACTGCAAAAAATCAATAGTTGTCAAGCAGTAGCCTGAACAAACATTTAACAGGCTTCAGAAAAATGCTGTCTATTTAGATTCAGCTTCTGCTTCAAAAATGGGACACATTACAAAAGACAGCTTATAACATGAACCAACATAGATGCATCTCTTGCATCTACACCATCCTAGCGGGAAATGAAGTTAAGCTAAAGTTTTCACTCTCCTGCCTACCCAAGAAAGGGTGAATTAAAAAAAAAAAAACCCCAAAACCCAACAACAATAAAAAAAATCACTGCTTTCTGTTTTATTTCTTTCATAAATCATTTGCAAGCAGACTGCAATTTAATCAAAAGGCTAAACAGGTCAAACTGTTTGCCAAATTATTTGCTGAAGAATCCTCACTGATTTATTATTGAACACTTAAATAATCTACCAATCTGATAGGAAATACATCTGTCGTCCGATTAAATAAGAACAGCTTGGATGTGCCAAACCAAATACAGGCATCTGCACTTGGTGTATTCTCCTATACTCCATTTTAAGCCAGTGAAGTGAAATAGGCGTTTGCAGGGCACAGATCTCCCACTGACTGTGATCGGAGTCTCAGGTGAATAGATCACACGTAAAAGACTAAGGTTAGGTGAGATGAATTGCACTATAGCTGCCCACTTGAGCCACTGCATTTTTAAACTCGTTTTCAGAAACTACTGCTGCCGACGTATTTACTGGATTACAATATACAGGAACAAAAACTGGGTGAAATAAGGTACAGGTATTAACCAACTCGAAGCTTGATCTGATTCAGTGATGAAAAAGGAAACAGTTCTGACCAGTTTAAAAGCCCAGGCTGAGTTCACACTAGTAATAAATAAAATCAAAAAAATAAATTTCTACACATCTGGAGCTGCTCTACCAAAGAAAGCAAACTTTCCATAGTAGAATACGTACAGATCTATTAAAGAACTGAAAACTTTCAAATTTTAGCCACTTGATTTAGTCCCCTTGAAGTTACTGAAGGTGTTTCCTTCTCTCAGAGTAAGTATATAGAAATAAGTTTCTTCTGAAGAGCCCATGTACATTGAATGCCTAAATAAAACAGCAATAGCTGAGAGGTCCCTGCGGTGGGTTGTTGCAAATCTCATAACAACTGATTTGCCGAACCAAGTCCGTTAAGCGATGGGAAGAAGCAAGAGATCAGCATTCTTGTACTCCATCAAACATGCATTCATGAATGAGGGGGAAAGGTTGCTAACCCAGTAATTGCAAAACTCTCAGATCAGATAAGAGAAAAAATGTAAATGTTATGGTTCAATCTGTCTTTAGGTATCTTCATTTCTATTCTTTATTTTTTATTCTCAACTCTACTTGTATAGCCCTAAGGACACAAGAATAGCTGCAAATGCATAAGCAAAAATAAAAACTGCACTAAAACCTATTCAGTGAACGGAAATTTTTAAACACACAAAATAACACTATATCCTTTCAATTTATTTATATATGTGGAGATAGAGAAGACAACATTTACATCTTATTCCAGATTAGATTTAAGTAGCTTAGTTCAATCAGGGTTCAACCATCACAAATGGGTTATAGAGTTTTCACAAAAGTGTATTCACAAAACTCCTGTTGCGTATCCTGTAAAGTTAACCACTTTTTGGTAAGGAATCAATTCAAGATTCCTACTGTGGATCTGCACAATCAAATTCAAAGTCTACGCACACACAATTTATTCAAAGTTGTAGAGATTCCAGGTTCCAGTTTTAGCTGACATGTATTTTATCTATCTTGATCATTAAGGTTATTTTGACAATTTTGAAGACTTTTAAAAATGTATGATATACACTCTTGAAGCGTTGCCAGGTTCTTTTTTCTGGAATCAAGATTTGCTAAAAATATGCTTCCACTTCTAGCAAATTTTAGCTGCAGTTTAAGAAAACAGAAGCAATTCATTTCCTCTAACAGCTACATTTAACACTCCAAGTTTGGGTTGCTACAAATATTTCAAATTATTAAAACAAATCAGTACTGGATCCATATACCCATGGGACACTCCTGCAGCGATGTGACATTTGCCAGAGTTTAAACATCAGACTTTTGTAAATCAGCCTTTCCTCAGGCAATTTCAGTTCGCTTTTAGGTTTTTGTCCTCTTTTACACCCAGATTCAGAGCATTGTCCAAAGCATATATTTACCTCTGTACACATTGAGGACTTCCACTAAGGTCGCTGACAGCGCTGAAAGCATAGCACTAGGCATACCTAGGAGCTTGGGAGGAGTTTTAAATATCAGCATGATAAAACTTTAAGCTCTTTATCTTTTGTCAGGACCAAATGCTCCCATAATCAGGATGGTGGTGGAGTGCCTGAGGAGAGGGGGAGCTGCATGGCCTTCCCTCCCTAGTCATAGGGAGGGAATAGTCGGAGTGCGTGGGCTGCGAGGGCCCACACCAACGGATGGGCACTGTGTGCTCCGACCCACAGCTACATATCTGTACTTGGTCCATTGAAGCCCTGGGCCAGCTGACACTTCTGTGCCTAAGAGGTGCGAGAGAAACTCTCACCAGGGAAGATGAATCACAGTAAAAGGGGGCCTTCTCAGTTCTTGAGAAATTCAATTGAAATATTTCATACACGGCAACAAATCAAGATCAACCATCAGATAGGACCCACTTGGGAAGTCCACAGGAAAACAACAGAGGTAACATCTTTCAGCCCTTTTTTTCATCCTGAAACCTCAAGGTCTCCTTCCTCCTCAGGCAACCTCTGATAGGACATCATTCCATCAACTGTTATGAAAAGGATACAGCGGCAATGTATTTCAGGGGATTACACCAAAGAGCTTGGTTTTGGATTGCATGTTTTGCCAGGGTTATCTTGCATGCTTAATGGGAACTTGGTTATTTTTCTCTTGCTGTGCAAATTCTCATCATTTCCCTTTTAGGGGAGTCTCTGAAAAGGGGCAGTCAAAACTTCCCTAATTTGGTCATTCTAACCTGAATCCACCAGTAAATATATCGTTCTTAAGTTAGGGGACACAGCACATTATTTCGGATCAACACTGTGTCCTTTTGGCATGGTGATATTTCTTAAGAGAAGTAGCTGTGTTTTTAAAGTTGCATCTCCTAAGAAACAAAATTCTTTAAAGTACTTAACATTACTTTCTTGATGAAACACACTTGGCTGAGAAATCCCCTGTCCAGCCTTATCCCGCTTACTCCTTACAAAACACTGCGTGCTAT